GCAACCCATTCCCAATGGGGAGCGTCCTTGGTCACACCTAGGTATGGACTTTATTGTAGACCTCCCGGTGTCTCGGGGTCATACGTCATCCTCATGATCGTCGATCGGTTTTCCAAGATGTGCCATTGCATTCCACTCAGGAAATTACCAACAGCGCAAGAACTGGCCACGGTCTTTTCCAGGGAGATTTTTCGCCTGCATGGGTTGCCTAAGGTGATTGTCTCGGACCGCGGGAGTCAGTTCGTGTCCAGATTCTGGCGCGCCTTCTGCTCCCAGTTGGGTATTAGTCTCTCCTTTTCCTCAGCCTACCACCCGCAGTCCAATGGGGCTGCGGAGCGTTCCAATCAGGCCTTAGAACAATTCCTTCGGTGTTATATTTCAGACCATCAGGACGATTGGGCGATCTCCTGCCTTGGGCAGAGTTTGCCAGGAACTCGGCGGTCAACTCCTCCTCCGGGATGTCGCCCTTCATGGCCAACTATGGGTTCCAACCCGCGGTATTACCTGAGAGGTTCTCACCACAGGACATTCCGGCTGTGGAGAACCATCTTGCTGCCCTGCGTTCTTCATGGGGGCAGATCCAGAGGGCCTTGAGGGACTCAGCTCAGCGCCAGAAGTTCCAGGCTGATCGCAGACGGTTGCCCGCTCCTTCATACCAGGTCGGCGATCGGGTGTGGTTGTCTACTCGCAACCTCAATCTTCGGGTGCCCACACCCAAACTAGCTCCCCGTTTTGTCGGTCCTTTCCGCATTCTCCGCAAAGTGAATCCGGTGGCCTATGCCCTTGCCCTTCCGTCTGGGATGCGGATCTCCAATATCTTTCATGTTTCCCTGTTGAAACCTCTGATCTGCAATCGCTTCACTACCTCTCTGCCTCGGCCCCGTCCTGTCCGGGTTGACGGTCATGAGGAGTATGAGGTGAGCCGGATCCTGGACTCTCGATTGGTGCGCGCGTCGATTACAGTTCCTGGTTCATTGGCGCGGTTATGGTCCTGAGGAGCGTTCCTGGGTTCCTTCCGCGGATGTCCATGCTCCTGCCCTCCTCCGCGCTTTTCATACCCGCTTTCCTCAGAAACCTTTTGTTGAGCCGCGGAGGGGGAGGGGCCCTTGAGGAGGAGGTACTGTCAAGGTCCTACCTTTTCCCTGAGGTTATGTTACTCCATGTGCTGGCGTCCATCTTGGATTCTGCTGTGCATGGTGGGAATCCTTTTTATGCCTTCAGGTCTCTGAGGTCCACCCCCCAGAGGGGCGTGGCTGATGACATATAAGCCTGTGGCCAGCACATGCTCTTTGCACTTGTGTCTTTGTGTCGCTATTACTCTTTCTGTTCTGACTCTCGTGACTTTCCTGGTATCTGATTCGGCTTGTGACTTGACTATTCTTTGTATTCTCCTTTGATCTGACCCTCTGTTGCGGAACCCGGCTCGTGACCTGTGATTCTCGTCTGCTGTCCTGTACTGTTTTGTCCTGTTGTTGTTGACCCCGGCCTGTCTGACTACTCTTTTGTCTCTTCCACCAGCTACACGCCATTGGCGGTGGCCATTACCGCAGCTGAGGTGTCTCGGGGGCCACGACCTGGTTCCTGGCTGCGCAAGTCCATCCCCACCATCAGGGGCCCTGGTGAAGGGCAGCCTGGGACTTAGACTCCGCGCCCTGAGGGACTTCGGTCTGTGGGTGGTGGTTGTCGTCAGCCAGTGCGTTACATTGTTAGGCCTGCCTGTCCGTTCCTCGGCTCCTGCCCTGACACTGCCCGAGGGCCCGGGGTCAGTAGAGGGCCCCATGAGATGCCCCTGGTACCTTTTTCATAGGCTTTTTTGAGTTTGGGCAAGGACACAGGGGCCCCATGATCCCCTATTGCCCGGGGGCCCCATGAGTTGTCAGTCCACCCCTAGTGGTAACAACAGAGCAGCAGAGTCTTGATAAGTTACTGGAAAGAGAAAAGGTTACAGCAGTATCAGTACTAAGCCTATGCGTCGGTTCTATTTTTGTATGTGTGAATATGGATTGCTGCTTTTTTCTCGTCGTCGTGATTGCAGCAACTTCCCAGTATTTGTATTAATAGGGCTCCTGGGTCAGTGTGCTCTGCAGAATAATCCATGAACAAGGACATGACACACGAATGTGAACTCTGGCCTGGTGTAATTCAGAACAAGATATTGAGAAATGTTCTAGTCTGCTCTCTCCATCGTTGGTATTAAAACAGCCACACAAATTAATGCAGAGGAAACGTTACGCAAAAGGTCCTTCATCAGCAAAATGATTCTCAACCTTTTTATCCTTGACATGAATTCAAGGTCTCGGTCAACCCCTGGTAAAACCAACTCATCAAGGGTCAGTGAGAAAATGCCCCTTCCAGCAGTGGTCATAGTGCCAACCTCACAGACAAAGATCCCTGGTGTCATGTCATTGGTTCTGCAAAGTGGTGTTTGTCCCGACACTATGCAGATACTACCAGGGGTGGACTGACAACTCATGGGGCCCCCGGGCAATAAGGGATCATGGGGCCCCTGTGTCCTTGCCCAAACTCAAAAAAGCCTATGAAAAAGGTACCAGGGGCATCTCATGGGGCCCCCTACTGACCCCAGGCCCTCGGGCAGTGCCCGAGTTTCCAAATGGTCAGTCCGCCCCTGATTCTACCAAACCACGAAAGCGGAAGATGAGCCCAAGAAGACAACATTTCAAGACAGAGGGGAAATGATCCTGCTACAGTAGTGGAGCTATATTCGCCGCTAAATAGTATGCATGAAGATTCGGGACAGACAATCCACCTTCGTTCCTACGGGCAAATAAAATTCTTTTATTAATTCTAGGTGGTGAGGAGCCCCAGATGAAAGACAGAAGCTTCGGTGGATGAATGCGTAAGATATGCAAAGGCACAGGGATCGGTAAAACCCGAAACACATATAATAGTTTTGGGAGATAAGTCATAGGGATCGCATTAATTCTACCCAGGGGCGGACTGACAACTCATGGGGCCCCCGGGCAATAGGGGATCATGGGGCCCCTGTGTCCTTGCCCAAACTCAAAAAAATCAAAATAGAAAAAGCGCCAATAAAAAATATGTATATCAAATAAATTGTGTATATAGCAGCAACACCCCACCAAAAATTATATATAATAAATTTGGCAAAATCAACAATATATCAAATAGGCATGCGCTAAATATATATATCACCAAATAAATAAGTGTCCATATTAAATCTGTCCAAAAAATCAATCAAAAATCCTTTGTGAACTGAATAATCCACCACCAAATGAATTAAATAAACTCACCAGAGCTAAATGCTGATCAAATTATAGACCAGCAATAGCACTTGTGCTCTAGGAGCGGTGGGTGAAACGATATCCAGGTATTAGATGTAATAAATAATCAAATCCTGATGATCAATAATGGCAGTCAGCATAGAGACAGCATATCGCTACCAGAAGCAATACTCTGCAGCCAGAGATCTCATATTATATCTCTCCATTCAAATCCATCTCTCCATAATACATGAGGTGCACTCAGGGACAAAAGCAGTCTGCATGTCCAGGTGATGATTTTATACACCTGTGACCATGGAGGGGATTGGAATACCTGAATCCAATGATTTGGAGGGGGGCCCAATACTTTTGGCAATATAGTGTATGTATATTATTTATATATATGTGTGTGTGTATATATATATATATATATATATATATATATATTATATATATATTATATATTATATATATATATGGCCCTCGAACCCCTCATGTACTGTTTTGTTACTGTCTTGTCTCATGTTCTGTCCCCTTTGCTACTGTACAGTGCTGAGCATACCCTTTGGCGCTATATAAATACTGTATAATAATAATAATATATATATATATATATATATATATATATATATCTGCTAGCGGTGTCCTTGTGGGAACAGACAAGAGCAAAAACTGGGCAGCTGTCCTTTCACCAATCCCGATTAGAAGAAGGTGTCTGGTGCTGTAAAGAGGAATTAAGCAGGCTTTGGCTTCACAGCAAGATGAGGCAGCAGTTTCACAGAGGGCTGCTGAAGTTTCGGGACAGCCGGAACAGCAGGTAGCGATGATACAAAGTGTCTCTAGTTTTTCTGGATCGCTGGAAGCAGTGAGAAGCTCTCACTGGGACGATGTGACATATCGCTGAACCTCTGAAGCTATAGCTAATGAGTAGAGGGTCTGTTGCTGGTTACTGGCTAGACCTCTGAAGCAGCTGTGAGCAGAATTTTATACACTTTTCCAGAATCCCTAGTTGATCCGGCTCGCAGGGATTTGTAGTTCCAAAATAAAACCTAGGATTTAGTGAGTGTTAGTTCAGGACTATTATTATTATACAGGATTTATATAGCGCCAACAGTTTGCACAGCGCTTTACAAAATGAAAGCAGACATTACAGTCACAATACAATTTGGTACAAGAGGACACAGAGTACAATCTAGGAGGAAGGGTTGAGTGATACAAAAGGTTATAGCTGTGGGGGGGATGAGCTGATGGAAGTAATAAATGGTGGTTTATTAGGTAGAAGTAGGATAGACTTCTTTAAAGAGAAAGGTTTTCCGGGATCGTCTAATGGTGGATTGATTAGGAGACAGCCAGACAGATTGGGGTAGGGAGTTCCATAGGATGGGAGAAGCTTGGGAGAAGTCCTGGAGGCAAGCATGGGAGGAGGTGACATGGGAACTATAGAGCAGAAGGTCTTGGGAGGATCGAAGAGAGCAGTTTGGTTGATATTTTGAGACCAGGTTGGAGATGTAGCTGGGGACAGAGTTTAACTAGCTGCCGACCGCAGATAGCCGAACGACGGCTGCACTGCGGCCGGCCAGTTCTGAGTGGACGTTATATGACGTCCTCCCAGAACGCGCTCTGGGGCGCGCACCCGGCGATCTCCATGATCGCTGTGTCCTACGGACACAGCTGATCACGTGATGTGGTAAAAGGCCAATCACAGCGGCCTTTTACCACGTGATCAGCGGTGTCCAATGACACGCTGATCAGAGGGAAATGCAAGTGCCGGTTCTCGGCTGCACTTTCCTCACGCTGTCAGATCGTGAGGAAAGTACTGCCGAGAACCGGCAGTTGTCAGAGCGGGGATCGGCACACCGATCATCAGGGCACTGATGATCAGTGCCCTGATGATCGGTGCCCAGCAGTGCCACCCGCAAGTTCCACCCACCTGTGCCCAGCAGTGCGCCCACTAGCTCCGCCTACCTGTGCCCAGCAGATCACCCACCTGTGCCCAGCAGTGTACCCACCTGTGCCACTCTGCAGTGTCACACACCTGTGCCCAGCAGTGCCACCCACCTGTGCCCACCCACCAGTGCTGTCCACCAGTGCTGTCCACCAGTGCCACCCACCAGTGCAGCCCAGCAGTGCTGCCAGTCAGTGCCACCAGTCAGTGCCCAGCGGTTGTGCCAGTCAGTGCCGCCAGTCAGTGCCCGGCAGTGATGCCAGTCAGTGCCGTCTATCAGTACCCATCATCAGTGTCACCTATCAGTGCCGCCTATCAGTGCTGCATATTAGTGCCACCTATCCGTGACACCTCATTAGTGCTGTCTATCAGTGCCGCCTATCCGTGCCACCTCATTAGTACTGCCTATCAGTGCCCTTTAGTGCTGCCTATCAGTGCCCATCAGTGCCGCCTATCGGTGCCCATCAGTGCTGCCTCATCAACGCACATCAGTGAAGGAGAAAAATTACCTGTTTGAAAAATTTTATAATAGAAACAAAGAAACTTTTTTTTTTTTTCAAATTTTTTGCACTTTTTTTTATTTATAGCGCAAAAAGTAAAGCGCCCAGTGGCGATTAAATACCACCAAAAGAAAGCTCTATTTGTGAGAAAAAAATGATCAAAATTTCATATGGGTACAATGTTGCATGACCGCGCAATTGTCAATCAAAGTGCGGCAGCGCTGAAAGCTGAAAATTGGCCTGGTAAATAAGGGGGTATAAGTGCCCGGTAGGCAAGGGGTTAAAGAGACTACTGGTCCCAAGATCCTGCTGTTTACCCAGAAGGATGATCCTCTTCTATCTGCAAAGGTGGTGTAGCAGCCTTATTCTGAAGAATAAGGGGAAAGGTAGGCAGTCTATGATTTCTTTTTGGCAATGAGCTCCTCTTCATTTATTAGTAGCCTGCATCTGGCAACACACTCACCCCGCTAGAAATCTTTGGTTCCCAAAGACAAGACAGAATCTTTAGTCATATTTAACACCCACAGTGGTAAGCTAACACATATTACCATACAAACATCAGCAAACGTTTCAGCTAGAGCACGTTTACAAGCAGTTTATAGGCAAATGGATTCATTTAAAGAATTTAAGTCTTCAGATAAAGTGAAATCATTTTGTTGACAGGCCATTGATATATCAGTGGTCCACCTAGTAGTGTTAGAGGGCAAGTCAAGGCCACTCTCTACCCAATTTGTGGAAGCAGGCATGTCACAGACTACAGTTTGCATTTCTCAGCCATAAACCTCCCCTCGTCATCTAGAAGTTTGTATATGTCAGAGACTAGAAGGGATGATGAGTGTAGACCGACGGCCACTCCAGATTTACTTGCAGAATCGATACTAACATACCAACTAGTGTTTAGATGTCATGGGAGGTGCACTCTTTTTTTTAATGTGCCTCCTATAAAAGTACCTTAAAGTACTTAGAAATGCTTCTGGGGAACATTCAACCTCCTCACATTCAGAGAAGCAAATGTAATACTCGTCAAGGTGGAGTATAACAGGGAGGCCAAATGGACCGACTAGAAAGTGTGAGTACCTGGATGAGCCCTTGAGGAAGGAGGGAAGAGACATAAGGAAAAAAGTGAAGAAATACAAAGCCTTGGGCTATACATTAATATTGGATACGTCCAGGTGAATCTATGGAAAGGGGGCAAAGGGTAGGGTTGGAGTGGGAAGGGCAGGAGAGATATGAAGAAAGGAGGGAAAGGAAAAACTCTTTTATAGCTAACTCTGGTCACTAGACAGTGGGTGTCCATTAATTTCTTCCAGGTGCAACCTCAAGAAGAAGGCGAAGAATTGCTTGTAGTATGGTCAACTTGTACCCTGAGTTCCCAGGTAGGAAGCTCAGTGAACAAGGGCAAGAGGGATCTGTCTAGGGCTCCAGCTCCACAATGGGGGATTCAGACCCTTCCTGAATCCCGTAAGTCATCTGGGTAATGGAGAATGTGTGTCTGATTGTCTTTGTAGGACAGGATTCAGAACAGGAATCCTCAACCATAAGATATACAGTTGCAAGAAAAAGTATGTGAACCCCTTGGGATTACGTGGAGTTTTGCATGAATTGGGCATAAAATGTGCTCTGAACATCATCTAAGTCACAACAATAGAAGAACACAGTCTGCTGAACATAATTCTACACAAACATTAGATGCTGCCATGGTTTAATTGCACATAACATGTAAACATTCACAGTGCAGGGAGGAAAAAGTATGTGAAGCCCTAGCTTAATTACTTCTCCCAGAGCTAATTGGAGCCAGGAGTGAGCCAACCTTGATTCCAATCAGTGTGATGATATTGGATGTGTTGCTGACAGCTGTCCTGCCCTTAAAAAACACACACCTGTTTTGGGTTTACTGGTTTCAAGAAGCACTGTCTGATGTCAACCATGCCTCACAGAAAAGAGCTCTCAGAAGACCTACGATCAAGAATTGTTGACTTGCATGAAGCTGGAAAGGGTTACAAAAGTATCTCCAAAAGCCTTGAGGTTCATGTGTCCACAGTAAGACAGACTGTCTACAAATGGAGAAAGTTTAGCACTGTTGCTACTCTCCCTAGGCGTGGTCGTCCTGTAAAAGTGACTGCAAGAGCACAGCGCAGAATGCTGCATGATGTAAAGAAGAATCCCAGAGTGTCAGCTAAAGACCTACAGAAATCTCTGGCACATGCTAACATTTTTGTTGACACATCTACAATAAGGAAAACATGAAACAAGAATGGAGTACATGGGAGGACACCACGGAGGAAGCCATTGCTGTCCAAAAAGAAGATTGCAGCACATTTGAAATTTGCAAAAGAGCACCTGGATGTTCCACAGCACTACTGGCAAAAATATACTGTGGACAGATGAAACCAAGATTGAGTTGTTTGGGAAGAACACACAGCACTATGTGTGGAGAAAAAAAGGCACAGCACACCAACATCAAAACCTCATCCCCACTGTGAAACATGGCGGAGGGAGCATCATGGTTTGGGGCTGCTTTGCTGCCTCAGGGCCTGGACGGATTGTTGTCATTGATGGAAAAATTAATTACAGAGTTTATAAAGACATTTTGCAGGAAAACGTACGACCATCTGTCCGCCAACTGAAGCTCTGCAGAGGATGGGTGATGCAACAGGACAATGACCCAAAGCATACAAGTAATTCAACAAAACAATGGCTGCAACAGCACAGAATACACCTTCTGGAGTGGCCAAGTCAGAGTCCTGACCTCAACCCGATTGAAATGCTGTGGCATGACCTTAAGAGAGCGATTCACACCAGACATCCCAAGAATATTGCTACAATGAAACAGTTTTGTGAAGAGGAGTGGTCCAAAATTACTCCAGATCATTGTGCAGGTCTGATCTGCAACTACAGGAAACGTTTGGTTGAGGTTATTGCTGCCAAAGGAGGGTCAACCAGTTATTAAGTCCAAAGGTTCACATACTTTTTCCTCCCTGCACTGTGAATGTTTACATGTTATGTGCAATTAAACCATGGCAACATCTAATGTTTGTGTAGTATTATGTTCAGCAGACTGTGTTCTTCTATTGGTGTGACTTTGATGACGTTCAGAGCACATTTTATGCCCAATTCATGCAAAACTCCACGTAATCCCAAGGGGTTCACATACTTTTTCTTGCAACTGTATTGACCTCAGAGCCCATGTGAACGAATGAAGAGCCCAGCATTTAGCAAGGGTCTTTCTGGAAAGGTCATGGTACAAATTGATAACTGCTCCATCAAAGCCCAAGATGCCACTCTCTCTCTGGCTTTATGAAGCATCTCCTCTTTTTTTGTGAAAAAGTACACACTGCGCAAAAAACATCCCTCAGTTGAGTGAAGTTTGGATTGCAATATTCTGAGGTACAGTGCACTCTGTCAATTTCTTTTGTTGCAGTCACTGTGTTCCACAGGAGTGTTAAAAATCACCTGAACAGATGATAGTAGATCATCCTGTTCTATTGCCACTGGTAGACCCTTCAGGTGGATCTTTTTCCATCTGACGGTCTTCTAAATCATCTATGCGAGACCATGGTGATTGAAACTAGATGTGATGAGCCCATGTAGTTTGTTTCAGTTCAGGCTGAGAGATGTGTAGTACTACCGATGCGAGAGCTTTGATGTGGCCATGAAAGCCCTGTAAGCTTTCCTTAAGGTCCACCATATCCTACTTGTGCACCTCTTCCATGCGAAGGAATATGTACAATGTCCTGATTAGTTGGGAGGAGGGCAAAGTATGGTTTTAAAGTGCCCATGAAGTCTTCCTGCTGCTACCTGATGGCGATGAGGTGCGATAGTGAACAACGGGGTAGGTGCTGTAAGAAGCATGAATGAGGGAGGGAGGTGCTGCATCTAGGTGCCATGTTAATGGAGTGGCGAGATGCTAACTCTCTCCGCAATGCCATAAACAGCCAAATGCTTCACAACTCATTGGACGCCGCTTCACAGTGCAGATGGACAATGACCCAAAGCAGACTGCAAAAGCAACCAAAGAGTTTTTTAAGGGAAAGAAGTGGAATGTTATGCAATGGCCAAGTCCATCACCTGACCTGAATCCGACTGAGCATGCATTTCACTTGCTGAAGACAAAACTGAAGGGAAAATGCCCCAAGAACAAGCAGGAACTGAAGACAGTTGCAGTAGAGGCCTGGCAGAGCATCACCAGGGATGAAACCCAGCGTCTGGTGATGTCTGTGTGTTGCTTGATTTGCAACCAAGTATTAAAAAGTGAAAGTTTGATTCATGATTATTATTCTGTCCCATTACTTTTGGTCCCTTAACAAGTGGGAGGCACATATGCAAACTGTTGTAATTCCTACACCGTTCTCCTGATTTGGATGTAAATACCCTCAAATTCAAGCTGACAGTCTGCAGTTAAAGCACATCTTTTTGTTTCATTTCAAATCCATTGTGGTGGTGTATAGAGCCAAAAATGTTAGAATTGTGTCCATGTCCCAATATTTACGGACCTGACTGTATGTTCAAAAGTTTGTGGAGACCTGACCATCACACCTACAGTGGGGATCGAAATTTGGGCACCCCAGCTAAAAATTTGTATTAATGTGCATAAAGAAGCCAAGGAAAGATGGAAAAATTTCCAAAAAGCATCAAATTACAGATTAGACATTCTTATAATATGTCAACAAAA